AGAAAGTAAGTCCTTGCTTTGGAGATATAAATATATCTAAATAGAACATATGAGTATATTCAGAGTGTTCAGATGCATAGAAAGGAGCACTCACCTCAGATTTGAGGAGGTAAGGGAAGTGCTGAATGGATTCTCAAAATTTTATTTATTCATTCATTCATTTATTTTTTGAAACAGGGTCTCACTTTGTAATGCAAGCCTGCCTTGAACTCATTATGTAGCCCAGGCTGACCTCGAACTCTCAGTGATCCTCCTGCCTCAGCCTCCCGAGTGCTAGGATAACAGGTGTGCACCATCAGTCCCAGCTGGTTGAATGGATTAAGGAAAAATAAGAGCTCACTAAAGAATTGATTACCCAATGGGAAAAATTCAAGCAAATGTACAGAAATGAAAACTAGGATGTGGATATTTTAAAAACTGCAAGTAGAATTATATGAGCTATGATTGTTAAGCAATTGGGCTAGAGAGATAGGTAAGAATGAGTTGAAGAGACTTGCACATCATACTTAAAACTTCTGAAGTGGCTTGAAAAAGAGAATAATAAATCAGATTTACCTTTTAGTTGATCACTCCAGTGGCAGTGTAGAGAAATAAAAGAAGAAGCTTGACCATATAGAAAGTTATTTCAGTAAACCAGGTGAAAAATGGTGAAAACCTGAATTCAACCTGTAATGATATGGATGAATTTAAGCAACATTTATGAAGTCAAATTGATAGATGGAGATAACTGATTAGAAGGTTTAGGAGAGGTGGCAGTTCAGGATGATTCTTGGCTTCTAGTTTGAGTAACTGTGTGACTATTGGTGTTGCCAGTTGTTGGTAACCAAGTTGGAGATGCTGGTGCAAGCTGAGGCTGCCTCTGTTATGCCTGGTGTAACATTAAAATATCATTCAGGGTGAATGGCTGGAACTGGATACAAGGAGTGATACATAATAGGTAACAGGAAGATTAGGTCTGAAGAAATAAACTCAACAACTACTGTACTGGAATAATTATAAGCCCAAAAGTATGTAAAATTTCCATTGTATGAAACATAACCTGAGAAAGGCAAAACATAAAAAAATAGAACCCTGCAGATGATAATTTGAGATGGTTTCCACCAGCTAAAAATAACCATTGTGTTCCTCCTGTGTCTTCTCTTTTCTAACAATTCACAGATCTTTTTTTCCATTACACTCAATCGCTTCCAAATATGTCTCATTTTACCTATATTCCTCCTAAAATGGGATGCTTTTAGTTTACATTAATCCACGGACTGACCAGAGCTAAAAATATCATCTCCATTTTGAATTCCATAAGGGGTAGAGATGACCAAAAACGTCACCAATCTGTGTCTTCCTATTTCTATAAGTCAGATTTGTCCCTAGAAAGTGGTTGCCCGCCCAAAGATCGTATTTCCTAGTCTCCCTTGCTAATGCAATGTGAGGGGAAATGATGTGTGATACTTCTAGGCCAAGGTATTTATGAAACAGATCTCCTATACTCTTTCCTTCTTCTTCTTTAAGCTAGATGTAAATGATCATGACGCTAAAATTTACAGTGTCACTGAGCCACCAGATGGAAGAAACCCAGATCCCTGAGTCATCACACAGAGGAAAACAACAGTCAAGACCAGAAATATCTGACTTGTATAGTTAGATAAGCAAAAAATAAATTTCAATTCTGTTATGTTACTGAGATTTAGGTCTGTATTTTTATACCAGCTTTGATCTTAACATCATGTATCTATTAAAACAGCCCAAGAAACCATGAATTTAGAGAAGAAATACATCACACCCATGTATTTACAAACCTTGATTTCCCCAATTCTCTAATTACACATTTTTTGTTCCAATTGCAGAACTTTACATTTATCCCTGTAAGATTTCATCTCATTAGATTTAGCTAATGTCTGAATATTTTAGATTTGGGGATTTGGTTTTTGTCATTCAGTATATTAACTATCCCTTTCAACTCTCTGACATCTTAATTTTTTTTTTTTTTTGGTACTGGGGATCGAACTTGGGACCTTGTGTTTGTGAGGCAGGCAGCAGCACCACTGAGCTAAATCCCCGGCCCTCCAACATCTTAAATTTGATCAATAGTTCTACTTTTGAACCATTATTAAAAATAATTGAGAAGTTGGTCATGTACTAACATTTCCAGACATATTCTCTTAACTGCATTCTGTATCAACTTTCCATGGATCTTTCCCAGTGCTAATGATTCCTCTCCTAAGTTAGGCATGCTTGCATCATTATACTGAACTCTTGCTTGAGTTTTGCAGGACTTAAAAATAAGAAAATCCAAAGAATAAAAATATAATACAAGTAAAACCGATCTGTCATCTTCCTTCCCATCCCCTCAGCCCAAGCTCTTTATCAGTTCCAAATCACTGCTATGGTCACACTGTCATCTTCACTGGTCTCCATACTTCTGGTCGCTCCCCACTCTCATTTATTCTTCCCTTCTCCCCCTCCTCCTCCTCCTCCTCTTCTTCCTCCTTCTTCTTCTTCTCTCTCTCTCTCACCTCTCATCACATCATTCTCCCAGTAAAGATTTCCAGTGACTTCTCATTAAATCCAAATGCCTTCACTTAATATACAAAAACCACTTAAAGATGGATCTCAATCCCCTACTCAGTTGCCTTTTCTACCACCTCTGTCCTACACTTCTTGTCATGTATCACAGGCCCTTGCCTTGTAAATAGTGTTCTTCAACTTAAACTAATGCCCCCTCAACCTCTTCCAGGCATAGGTAATTGCCTTTTCTTCTTTGCTGTTATTTTTACTGTGCTCAAATTCATTGTTCACAAGTCAGTCTTTTCCTTCAGCTGTGAGCAGAATGAGGACAGGGTGGTGGCTTTCACCTGCTTCCCAAATTCCTAGCAAAGTACATGCTTCAGATTCATGCTCAGTAAGTGTCTGCTAAGTGTTATAATAAGTGACAAAAGGGAAACACAAATGGTGAGTGAATGCAGAAATTGGTTAAAGGCAAAAACAGAACATAGAACCAGAATGTTCAAATTGTCAATGTTTATGCAGGGTTAGGAGGGAAATACATAAATGCATTGTATTCTCCAGCTTTACTGAAGTATATCTGACAGATAAAAATCATATACATTTGAGGTTTACACCATCATGTTTTAATACACATACACATTGTGAAATGATTTCCACCATCAAACTAACAGCTAACTATTTGTGTGTACATGTCTGATAAGAACTATTAGGATCAACTCTCTTGAGAGTACAATACTTTACTATCAAGAATGTCCATGCTGTACATTAGGTCTCCAGAATTTATCCATCCTGCATAATTGACCATTGACCAATATATCTCCATTTCCTCCATCCCCAGCCCTTGGCAACCATCCTATTCTGCACTTCTAAAAGTTCAACTGTTTTTAGATTCCAGATGTAAATGAGACCATATCATATTGACTTTCTATGTTTGACATTTCACCTAGAGAGTTCATTCTTGATGTTGCCAATGACAAAGAATTCCTTCTTTTTAAAGCTGAATAATATTCTACATCTATCATATACATACCTAGATATATAAATATATATAGTTGATATATCTTACATTTTCTTTACCCATTCATCCTATGATGAACATTTAAGTTGTTCCCCCTGTCTTGGCTATTGTGTGCAATGATGCAATGAAATGATACCTCTTCAATATATTTATCTCATTTCCTTTAGATACCCAGATAAGGGATTGGTGGACCACGTGGTAATTGTATTTTTCATTTTTTAGGAACCTCCATGTTCTTCATGGTAACTATACCAATTGACATTCCCAACAGTGTAGAAGGGTTGTCTTCTCTTGGCCAATATTGGTTATCCTTTCCCTTTTGATAATAAATATCTCAACAGGTACAAAGTAAAATCTCATTAACATACATGCATTATTGTCCACCCAATTAACATCTGACTTTAAGAACCAACAATTTCTTCTTTCCAGAATGACTAAGAATAACAATATATATCTAGAGCATTATCTTTACTTCATTGATACATATAATATTTTTAACTCCCTTTACATTTAATTGCAATATATTTAAGAAATGTGAAGCTGCCTTAATATTTAAACCCTTAATGCTAATTCTAAAATTAGTACCCTTATAACTGGTCAGATAAATTATCATTATTTGTTGTTGTTTGTCTTTGCAAAATAATAAAAAATTAATAAAAATGTCCCACTACCTACAAATAAATTGAGTAAGAAGAATAAATCCAATAATTAGTGTGGGAGTACAAAGCAGGGTTGATTTCATTACATAATAGTTTCCAAAGGGAACTGGCTGTCTTCCTTTGAATCTTGATTAAAGGTGTGCATAGGAAGGATATTCTACTCAATCTCCTCAGGGATTTCTTTCCATGATGTGGTTTCCCTTGAGTAGCTGGTATGATTAACTGGGCTGGTTTCTTTCATAATTGTCCTGAAGCCCTTTATATTTTCAAACTGCTTTGCACTTGTATTTTTCTAAGATTTACCTAAAAATGATTCCATTAGGTGATGCAGAGGGGAAAACACATCTCAGGAAGGTTACTGACCAAGCCAAGATAAAACAATAGAAAGTCTTTCATTTTTTGAAAGGTGTTTACAGTGTCTTTTTAAAAAATACTTGCATTTACAAATTTTAAATATGTCCACAAGAACAGAGTGCCTAGCTTTCTTTCTTCAGATGTAGAATAGGATTGTCAGATAAAACACAAGATGTCCATTCAAAGCTGAATTTCAGACAACAATGAACTGTTTTAAGATAAATGTTTCATGCAATCCTAGAACTCCTAATACTGGGATTTCTGTAACCTTATTTGTTAAATCTGGGAGCCCTAATTTAGGAAGACAATATCATTCACTCCAGAGCTATATGAACTTGGGCAAAGAACTTAATGTTTCTGGGTTGCAACATCCTCTCTGAAAATAAAATGTGTGGTGCCCAGAATGGAAGTGACTTCTTTTGCTAACCAGGCTGTATCACCATATCTTTGCATTGTCCGAGACTTACCTGGGTGTTAACTTTGGTGTTATGCAGAGTGTGCTGCATTTGGAGTAGGAAGAGTTGAGTTTGACTCCCACCACTAACTACTTATGTCATTTTAGACAAGTCAAATCCTCAGCATCTCAGATTCTTCAGCTATAAAAATAGAGATAAGAGAGTTATTTATAAGGGTCAAATTAGCTAAGTGTGTAGAAGTGTTATGGATCTATGGAAAGTTATAAACAGGGTATGGCTTATAAAAAGTTACTCCCCTCTTATAAGAGGCTATCTCAACCCTTGTTAAAATTAGTTATTTTCAAAGTGGTACAGCCAAAACCTCTGTTTCCCTAGATGATTCAAACCAAATTTTCAAGTTCAGATAAACTCTTAGGTGGCAACTATACTTTCTCCTTGTATTTCAAGGGAATTATGTTAAAATGCCAGCCCAAATCCTCAGTTTCTTCAAATAACAAATGGGCAAAATAATGTCCACTTCATATATTTATCATGAAGACCAAAGGAAAGAAAATACACAAAAGGCCGAGTGCTCAGAGTTTCTCACTAGAACTGCAGTCTTGCTCTTCTCCATGGTTCTCCTGGATGCCTCAGTTGAAGCCTGGCCCCGGGTAGAAGCCAAGATGAGCTGTGTAATTCTACAGAGGGCCTCGGTTTCCCTTCTCCTCCTCTGGTTAGAGCTCTGCTGTCAGAACCCCTCAGGGGCAGGAGGGCCTCCTCCAACCTCCGGACCTCCCCTCAGAGGGGATCAGTAACAGTGCATTTGTTTTTCTGGACGTCTATGGATCCATAAGGCAATAATAACCTTCCCTAACCTCCACCATATTCGACCCAGAAAGCAGCATGAGAGAAGACTCCTTGACCCCAAGGGGCATCCAGCCTGTCCAGAAGCAGACGTGGGCTAATGAGATCCAGACCGCATGCAGTTCCCGGCATTTGATTACGGCTTGCGCCCTCTCTGCACCCGGGCTCCGGGCCTCAGCGCCTCCCGTATCAGACACCATGGCTCTTCCTCAGCCACACTTTTCAGGTCACCAGGCCACTTCTCCACCAGAACAGTGAGATAGATGTCTGCACTAGGGAACTTCCAAGCTGCTCAGGGAATGTCGCACTCACCCTTGACAGAGCCGATATGGAAAGGGCATCCGGGGCCTTTGTACTCCAGCTGTGGTGCAACAGTGACCTCCAGTGGCTGAGCCGGGAGAAAAACTGCCCCCACTGGCTCAGAGCAGCACTTTGCTCCCAGGAAACGGGTGTGATGGGTAACAGCGCCTTCTGGAATTACCTACCAAAAAACCTAAGCATGGCATCTTGAAAGAAAGAGAGAGGGAGGGAGGGAGGAAGAGACAGAGAGGCAGAGAGACAGAGAAGAAAGCAAAGTCCGAGTTATGCACCAATTGCGTCTAACCCCGTCACTCCTCTACTTAGAGCCTGAAGTGTCCCTTGACCACAAGGAAGTCTGACGTCCTCTCTGCACCAAATGGGGTTCTTTAGGAACTGAGCATGACTTCCTAGAACGGCATATTTCTTAATACACACCAGGCTTTCCCTGGTCCTTATGCGACCTGCACTACTACTGCTCCTTTAAATGACTCTCTCCATTTCTCTGCTTAGTAAATTCTTTTGTTTGAAGATTTCAGATCAGACATTGCCATTTGGGGACAGCTTTAGTAATAGTCCCCTAACCACTGTGGAATTAAATTTGTTTACAAAACATACAGCAAGTGAAGCTAATGCTAGTATATTTATTTATTCACAAAACAATAATAGGACACTGTTACAAGGCATCATTGCGCTAGAAGTTCTAGGTAATAGATAAAAGAAGCCTGGTTCCTGACCTCAAAATGCTTGAAAACTGATGGGAATACATACAGAAATAATTGCCTTGGGGCACAGTAAGGAGCTGTGTTGGCTACACATTTGGCTTAAGAATGGGATTCATTGTTTCAGTCTATGAAAAAAGCAATCAGAGACCCTGCCTTTCTCCAGCTGGGCCTTGAAGAATGAATAGGAGTTAGCCAGACAGATGGAAGGGTTTTAAGAAGGAATGAAGCGCATCAGGAGTATGAAGTAATTCACATAGAAGCAGGATGCATTGAGCCAGGGAGAGTTCATGTTGGCTGGAATATGGCTTCTGTGTTACACTGTGCAGAGATATAGAGCTACGGTACAATTGGGATCAAAAGGATCAGTGGTTCAAAATGCTGGCTATGGAAATGAGGAACCATAGAAGATTCTTGAATGAAAGCAATATTTAGGAAGAATGAACCAGCACATAAACTAAGAATGACAGATCACAGGAGCAAAACAAGATCAAAATCGAGTTTCTTCCTATAAGTGGTACTCAGACACAGCTGATAGTCATCTTGACTGAGAGGTAAGGCCAAGCCAGTGAGTGGGTAAACACACAAGTCTGGTATAGAACCTCAAAGGGGAAGATGGAGATGCAGAAGGGCTCATGAATGGGAACAGATGTCTGTCTCTAGAAAGTGAAAGGCCCAGTTAGAATGTGGGGAAGTCCAGCTGCCTCCTGGAGACCTGTGCCTTGCTGGCTAGTGGTTGCCTTTATAGGCTGTGGGGCTGGTGGTTAGGAGAGATCTGACAAAGCTGGCCTGAAGGGTCTAACTTTGTGACTCTGGAGGGTCTGCCTCAGGGGGGCCACTGGGGCTCCACTCTGACAGGTGTCCCATGCATCTGGAAAATGGTAAGCCCGTTCCTCAGGTGCAGATGATGACTACTGACTGGCTGTCCTGTTGCAAGGTCTCTTGCTATGTGTCCCTTCTGGACATTTTATCATGAGTGGGAGAAGAGAGCTATCTCTTGACATACAGGGCAGGGGACTAACTAGTGGCTGAAAGGAGAGAGGGGGAAGACTAAGAGGACAGGGTAAATCTATGCATTTTGTGTCTGGACATCCCATAACCCTGCTGCACACGGATGAAGGACTGCTGCCCATCTGGCATGGGCCTGTCTGGGGGAAGGCAGCCAACACAATGAAGAAGGTGCATGTATCTCCATGCAGGCTCCTGCAGAAAGCTGTTTCTCTCTGTTATAATATTTAACACAGTGAAGAAGACCCATCCGTTTATTGATATACATGTCACACTAGAAAGTAAGTTCCTTGAGGTCCACAGACACATCTTCCTCAACTAGCACAGTGCCTGGCACAGTCAGCACTCAATAAATACTGATGGAAATAAAGAACAAATAAGCAACCCAAGGTTGAGGAAAAATGGATATGAAGTTCCTGCAGACACCTGTGGGTTGGCCCAGAGCACCAGAAAGTCCTATATTTTCCAGATGTGTCCTTTATCCTTTTACAGATGTTGATAACATGTATACGAGGAAGAACGTTAATTTGGGAAACAAATGAAAATGATTTTAAATTCAGGCTGTGCCATCTCATTAACATGGGCAATTTATTCACATTGTCTAAGATGCCATTTTCTCACCTAAAAATACAAAGATAACAATATACCCTTCCTACCAAAATGTAGTGAGAGTAAGAAATTGAACATGTAAAGTGCTTATGCGTAGGGTGAAGCAAATAGCAGGCCTGTCATAAATGGCAGCCATTGTGATTCCAACATAAGGTGCCTTCTTGCAGTGGACTCTGAGCCAACACAAATCTCAGAAGCTGCAGTGGATAGTCTTTTCCTACAAGCAGATCTGGTACAGGACTTGGGTGCTGGGGCAGGTCTGGCATGACCAGAATGCTTGTGGTCATGACTTTGCGGTGGGAACATACAGATTACTTGTGCCCAGCATGACAGTGTAGGACTTTGCTGGGTATGAAACAGCATCAGCATGGAGGAATTGTATGTTCCCGTATATCAGCCCATGGTTGCTGGAGTCAGGGAAGGGGAGCTAAGAAATTCTCAGCACACAGAATCACGTAATCACATATCTTGTGACATCCAAGATAAACCATGGTACTATAAAGACCCAGCTCCTGGGATTATAGGTGGTAACATAAAGAAGAATGGAAAAAGACCTGATACAAACTCACTATTTGAGTTTAAATGAGATGTGCAATAACTTAAAACTGTCTTGCCATCCACTAAGTGTCAGCCACTTTCAGTTAGCAACACCAGAGTTCATGGCTTGGCACTCCTTGTCATATAAAAAATAATGCCACTTGAAAAGATTTTGTTGCTTTAAGAAAGGAGAGTGAAATTCAATTTAAGAATCCTTCTGACTAAATGTATAATAGGTAATGTGAAATAGGAAGAAAAGGGGCAAAGGGGAAGGAAGTGGGAGGGCTAGGGAAAAGGATAGAAGGGAATGGGATTAATAAGAGAAAATGGAAAAATAGGAACAAAATCTTTGTAAATAGGGAGGAATGGAGGGGTTGAAGGGAGGGGTGGGCAAGGGTGAAAAATAAGAACCAAGAGAGACTATGTAAAGGTGCAAATTTCCAATGATGAATGTCATTATATTGTATACCTAAAATGTACCAATGATTAGAATGAATAATCGATAATGTAAAATAGGAAGAAAAGGTCCAAAGGGGTAGGGGTAGTGGGAGGCACAGGGGAAAGGAAAGAAGGGAAAGAAAAAATGATGAGAAATGGAAAAAATGGAAATAAAGTCTTTGTAAATAGGGAAGGGTGGAGGGCGTGAAGGGAGGGCTAGGAATGGGGAAAAAATAAGAACCAAGATGCATTATGTAAAGGTACAATTCCCAATGAGAAATGTAATTGTGTGTATACCTACAATGTACTAATAAAAGAATTTAATAAAAAAAAAAGAATCCTGAGTCAGATGGCTACATTTAAGACATTAATTTGAACCCACAGGTATACCTCCTGTGGAATTAAGCAATGCAGAGTCTGAGGCACTAGGCATCAGTTTGAGAAATCAAGGATCCAGAGAGAAGCAGTTTTTTCCCAGCTATCTATTAGATGAACAGAATGAAGCAATCTTATCTATATTACAGTGATAATTCCAAAGGATCAATCTGTAGCCCAGATCGCTAAGATCTAGACCCTATATCCAACCACCTCCTCACCTTGCCTACCAGCATAGCTCTCAGACTCCTAAAATCAAACTTTTCCCAAACTTACCTACAGCAGGAACACAGATTTCCAAGCATTCTTCTTGATTCCTTCTCCCCTCCCTGCACATTTAATGAATCATCATGTTTCGCTTGCATTAGTTTTCTCTTGCTCTTGTAACAAATAAGTATAAGGCTATACATTTAAAAGAACACAAAATTATTATCTTGCAGTTCTGTGGGCTAAAAAATCCAAGACACCTCTCACTGGACTAAAAATCAAGGTCTTGGCAGTGCTACATTCTCTTCTGGAACCTCTAGAAAACAATGTTTCCTTTGCCAGTTCTTAAAGCCACCCTTATTCCTTAGCTCAGCAACCCTTCCTCTACCTCCACCTCCAGTAACATCACTCTGATCTATGTTCATCACCACAACTTTTTCTGACCACAACCAGGAAAGGTTCTCAAAGGTTTTTCACATTCTAAGGACCTGGGGGTCCAGATTAGGCCCACCTAGATAATGAGGGATAATCTCTTCCATCACAGAATCCTCTACTCAAATCACATCTGCAAAGTCCCTTTAGTATGTAAGGAACATATATGCATGGATTCTGAGTATACTTGGAGGATATATATATTCTGGCTACCACAGTTGTATCATCTCATAATCTTCTCCAGAATTCTTTGAGATGGCTACTATTGCTATTTCCATTTTATAGTTGAGAAAATAGATTCAGCAAAGTAGCCAATATGACAGAAGGAGATTCTCACCCTGAGACCTCATACTGAGGTCTGTTTGCCTTTCCATAGACTTGCTCCTGCTTCCTTGACTGCATCCCTAGAATGCCATGACTCTGGTCCCACCACACTGGTCATGCCACCTTTCTGTTGACTTAGATTACTCCATTATCCTGTTCTCTCTCCCTTTAGTCTTATGGTCCCTCAAGCCATGCTCCACTCTGCAAACAGAGTTGAAAGCACACATCTAATACTCAGTGACATTCCAACATCTTCAGTAAAGGCCCAGACTTCTGGAATTGGTGCACCACCTGCTTCACTCTGGCTTCAGTCACCTCTCCCCTTTCCTCTCCTCCTGCTCCCACAGTCTCAGTGCTAAAACAAGGTTTCCTAAATGTATCATGCTCTCTCTGGGTTCCAGATG